GTGTCCCGGCTCTTATGAGCTTGGATACACAAGGATTTAGCTTATTTTGTCAGGCCTACCTATTATGCATAATTGACCGAATTATTAAAAATGACAACGGTAAGGAAAAATTGCGTAGAGTAACCTGAAAACTTTGGCCTTTAGGAGCTTTCAATACTGAAATAAGCTGGGCAAATAAACCCTTTCTGGAGATTTATCAGGAACTCCACAGCATCAACCAATAAACAATTTTAAATGTTAAATTCTTGCAGAATTATATAAAGCAGAAATAGGGATAATTCATGCGTTATTAGTAAATCACTATGGACAAATTGAAGAGCAATTGGTACAGAAAAATATGTACAAAATATAGGGGAAAATCATGAATGTATACAATAAAATAAATTTTACATAAATAGAAAACCCACATTTTAAAAATGAAAATCAATTAAGGGAATGCTTTAGAAATTCAGAATGGGTAAATAGCTCTTATTTAAATGACCAACACGTAGAAAAGAGGGTTCTTTCACTTGGCAGGAGGATACCAAGTAAATAATGTAAAAACTTGTATAAATAGGTGGCTAAAGGTAGGAGAAAAAGAAATATAAATGTGCTGCAATAATTGGCTCAATCAGTAGCGAATCCGGCCGGGAGACGATCTTTTGCTGAATATGGAAGAAGGGCCAAAAAATTGAAACGGCCTCCCATCTGATCGCGGGAGATTAACATTTCCACTCCAGAAAGAAGCTCATGGCGCATTGTATCAGTTTTACATGATGCCATCAAGATCTATGGAGGTATTAAAGACACACAAGAATAAAAATATCTGCCCGGATCAATAAAATGTAACTAAATCGTCTTTTTGCACTAAATTTCATGATAGTTTTGCAGAAGGGATTTGTAGACTGGTGGCACCGAAGCAAAAAAGTAAATTTATATGAAGCTGCTGTCAAGATGGTGGATAGACTTCTCAAGATAAGCAGAATGGTTCTTGTATCACCATTTGATGGCTAAAGTGAACCCAAGATAATTCTTTGTCTATTAAATGAAGGATATCTCCAGAGCCTATTCACATCTCAAAATTATGTTTAAAAATTTTTAGATTTGAAAATGAGCTGAAGATGGACAAGCTAAGAATAGCGGGTCCCCACCGTGGACTCATTGCAACTCAGCGGCATTTAACGATCTTGTTCCAATGAGATCATCACGGCTTTCAAAGTGAAATAAAAGGTGTAAACATTTTAAGCAAACATTTAGCTGATTCTTAGTAAAACAGATACAACTATTTGTTTTTCATAAAATATTGCAAAAAACATAGCGTATATGGAGATTCATATTTAACAACTAACTTTGAATCTTTTTAAAAGTCCCATATTTATCAGAAACGAAGCTTGAGTTACAGGTCCAAAGGTCTTGACTAAAATAGGGTTAAAAATAAGACAGTAAGAATAATCAATTGATGAAAGTCCAACATCATAAACCGATAATATAGTAGATAAAATAGCCTGGACTAATGAAAGGCAAATCATGTTTACAGATTAACTTCAATAACAACTCTCAAACTTTTAAGCTTAGCCCCTTGTCATATAGAGCATTTTGAGAAAAAAATATTATAGGAAAGATTACTCTTCACTGATTCTCGGCGTATAAAATGCGATGACCATGTAAACTCTAGTCTCATTTCGATGTCGTAATCATTAAAGGAGGCATCCAAATATTAAAATTAGGCTTTATTATGTAGTGCAAAGAAAAGTTGGGTTTCGAGAAATCTCTTGTATCATAATTGTTGAGCTTACTTCCATTTCGAGTGAAAGTGTTTGGTTAAGAGATTTGAAGGTCAATTTCTCCAGAAGACGACGGCGGATTCGTCTTGACCAGTTGTCAATTGGCTTTACTAGAACATTCATGGTGACGCTTTTTACGAGGTAATCTCCTTCGTTTCGGGTAAAAAGGTGCTAGGCTTTCGTCCGTCATATGACGAACATCATCAGAGCAAGGTATCATCGTCGCAACCAAATTCAAGCTAACGAGTCAAGAGAACTCACCGGCAAATACCTAAAAAGCGGTATATATACTCCATATCTGGCCTCTTTGATCAGGTATAAAGTGATTTGGAGTTTTCTTGACTCGTTAGCCTGAATTTGGTTGTGACGATGATACCTTGCTCTGATGATGTTCTTAATATGACGGACGAAAGTTTAGCACCTTTCACCTAAATCGAAGTAGATTACCTGAGAAAAAGCGCCATCGTGAATGTTCCAGTAAAGCCAATCGACAGCTGGTCAAGAGGAATCCGCCGTCTTCTTCTGGTGAAATCAACCTTCCAATCTCTTCACCAAGCACTCACTCGAAATGGAAGTAAGCACAACAAAGTGTAGAAAGACTCTTCCTCAAGGCAGCCAGGTCGCTCTGACAACACGACCAAGTTGTGAAAATTAGATCAGACCACTTCGATGCATCGAAAATGGACTACGACAAAAACAGAGACCACGACATCTTGATATACTTATCTACTAATAGTATTAGTTAAATAAGTGTTGGTTAATAGTCTAGTCATAGATTTGGATTTTAAATGACTCAGCTTACCTTGGTGTGGGGCTTGATGGGCCATCCTTATAAGAAAATCAAAATCCACATCTGCAGTTAAGTCAATCTCACCAGGATTAGAGAGTGGATTGCAAACCCGATGATTGCTAAAGCCCTATTTTAAGAGAATAAAAATTAGCAGAAGAAATTTACATAAAAATAGGGGTCGTAGCGTTTTTCACACTTCA